TGCTTCAAGTTCTGTTCACTTTCAGCAAGCAAGGTTATGTCATCTGTGTGACAGTTGGAGCTGTGTGTCAACTAGGCTGGACCACAATTCTGTGTGGTTTAAGCTGTTGTGATGTGGTTATTCCCATGATGGGATCAGATGAATATGTTTTGAGCAGCCAATCTGTTGAAAGGGAGTTTCTCTAGGGGTGTGGCCTGCTTCCAGTACATCTATGGACATCCTGGGAAAAGAGACATTCTTCTGTGGATCGGGATTCTGTGGTGCTGCCTACAACTATCTGTGAGTGAACAATCCACCTCAGCCTGGAGATCTTGGATTCGTCATTCATTGGAGTCAACAGTTGGTGTACTGCCTGCCAGACTTGAGCTTCTCAGTCCATGCAGCTGCAAGAGTCAAGAAAAGCCTCCACCTTGACGTTTGATCCAAGAACTTTGGACTTGCCAGCTTCTATAAGTGTGTGAGCCATTTTCCTAAGATAAATTTCTCTCTCTCTCTATATATATATAAGCTTTACTGGTTTTGTTTCTCTAGAGAACCCAGTCTAACACAATCTGCATATCACAGGTTGTCAATAAGTCTTCCTCCAATCCTGATACCATGTTCTTCATATAGACCAGTTTCTCAGATTACTTGCTTAGCATACAGATTGAACAGTATGGTGAAAGGATACAACTCTGACACACACCTTTGCTGATTTTAAATCATTCAGTATCCTCTTGCTCAGTTCAAAGGAGTACATCTTGGTCTATGTACAGGTTCCTCATGAGAACAATTAAGTGGTCTGGTATTCCCATTCTTCACAATGTTATTCATCATTTGTTAGGATCCACACAGTCTAATGCCTTTACATAGCCAATAAAACACAGGTTGATAAATTTATGGTACACTTTGTTTTCAGCTAAGAGCCACTAACATCAGCAATGATATCCCTTGTTCCATGTCCTCTTCTGGAAACTCCCTGTCAATATACTGCTGTGTGACCATATTTGAATTATCTTGAGCAAAATTTCACTTGCTTGTGATATTACTGTGATATTATTGTTTGATAGTTTCCTCATTCCATCGGATTACTTTTCTTTGGAATAGGCACAAATAATGGATCTCTTCCTGTTGGTTGTCCGGGCAGCTGTCTTCCAAATTTCTTGGCATAAACAAGTGAGTGGCTCCAGTGCTGCCTCTGTTTGTTGAAACATCTTAATAGGTATTCTGTCAATTCCTGGAGACCTGTCTTTCACCAATTCCTTCAGTGCAGCTTGAACTTCTTCCTTTAATACCATTGGTTCTTGATCATATGACATCTCTTGAAATGGCTGAATGTCGAGCAATTCTTTTTGGTACAGTGACTCTGTGTACCCTCTCCATCTTCTTTTGATGTTTCCTTCATTGTTCAATATTTTATCCATAGAATCTTTCAACATTGCAATTCAAGGCTTTAATTTTTTCTTCAGTTCTTTCAGCTTGAGAAATGTGGAGTGTGTTCTTCCGTTTTGGTGTTCTAATTGCAGTGTTTGCACATTCCATTATAATACTTTACTTCGTTTTCTCTAGCCACCTTTTGAAATCTTCTGTTCAGCCCTTTTATTTCATCATTTCTTCCATTTGCTTTAGGTAGTCTCTGCTCAAGAGCAAGTTTCAGGGTCTCTTCTGATATCCATTTTGGTCTTTTGTTCCTTTTCTGTCTTTTAATGACCTTTTGCTTTCTGCATGGATAATGTTCTTGATGTCATCTTACAACTCATTTGGTCTTTGGTTACTGGTATTCAGTGCTTCAAATCTATTCTTCAGATGGTCTCTAAATTCAGGTGGGATATAATTAAGGTCGTGGACTTGTCTTTATTTTCCTTAGCTTCAACTGGGGAGTTGAATTTAGCTACAATGGGATAATTGTCAAAAAGAATGTGTGGATCTATAGGCACTGTAAGGAGCCCTGGCAGTGTCGTGGTTAAGTGCTTGGCTGATAACCAAAAAGTCAGTGACTGGAACCAGCTAGCTGCTCCCCAGGAGCAAGATGCGGCATTCTGCTTCTATAAAGGTTGTTGTTGTTGTTGTTATGTGCCGTCGAGTCGGCCCCAACTCATAGCGACCCCCCTTGGGTTTCCAAGGCAGTATCACTACGGAAGTAGGATTGCCCAACCTTCCTTCCGAGGAGTGGCTGGTGGGTTTGAACCACCAGCCTTCTGGTTAGCAGTCAAGTGCCTTAGCCACTATGCTACCAGAGCTCCCTCTATAAAGGTTACAGCCTTAGAAATCCTATTGGGCAATTCTACTCTGTACTACAGGATCACTATAAGTTGGAATCAACTCAATGGCAATGGGTTTTATAAGTATTGTATTTCATTCAAATATTCACATCTGTCTTTGTTATCTAGTGTTGCTTTAACAGAAATACCACAAGTGGGTGGCTTCAACACGCAGAAATTTATTTTCTCATAGTAGGAGTCTGAATTCAGGGTGCCAGCTCTAAGAGAAGGCTTTTTCTCTTTGTTGGCTCTAGAGGAAGGTCCATGTCTTTTTGAGCTTCTGCTCCTGGGCAATTTTCATGTGTTTTGGCATCTCTGTTTCCCCATCTCTGTTTTTCTTATGCTTGTTTAATCTCCTATATGTCAAAATAGACTGACTCAAGACATACCCTTCACTAATTCTGCACCATAAACGTAGCAAAGATAACCCATTCCTAAATGGGATTACAACCACAGGCACAGAGGTTAGCATTTACAACACTTACTTTTGGAGGAGAGAATTCAATCCACAATAGCAACCTTTCAAATATTAACAACTCTGATCAGTCACCTCTCAGTGTTTAACTGGCAGCTTTTTTTCTCTTTTAACATCCATAAACTAATAGTACATTTTACAATCTACGTTATCTTAGATTTGATCAGTGTGATTACCCAATAAGCAAGGGAAGCACATGCTTACTTGTGCTTCTTATCAATCTGTAGTGAACAGTTTCACGTTTCTCACATGTGAAATTGTTCACTACAGATTAGTAAATAAACACAAACTCCTGTTTACCTTGCTTAATGGGTAATCTGCCCCTGGATTTAATGAAATATGATGTAACTATAAACTAAATATAAGGAACTCTGGTGCTACAGGAGAGCTCTGGTAGCATAGTGCCTAAAGCACTTGACTGCTAACCAGAAGGCTGGCGGTTCAAACCCAATAGCCACTCCTTGGAAGGAAGATGGGGCAATCTACTTCCGTAGTGATGTTGTTGTTGTTGTTATGTGCCGTCAAGTCAGCCCTGACTCATAGCGACCCCTCCTTGGGTTTCCGAGGCAGTATCACTACGGAAGTAGGATTGCCCAACCTTCCTTCCGAGGAATACTGCCTTGGAAACCCAAGGCGGGGTCGCTATAAGTCGGGTCCGACTTGACGGCACTTAACAACAACAACTGGTGCCACAGTGCCTACTGCATTTGACCACTAACCAGGAGGTTGGCGGTTCAAACCCACCGGCCACTCTGTGGAAGGAAGACGGGACAATCTATTTCTGTAAATATTTACAGCGTGGCAAACGCAGTAGGGGGTCGCTGAGTCGCAACCGACTGGATGGCAGTGAGGTTGTTTTGTGTGTGTGTGTGTGTGTGTGTGTGCGCGCGCGCATGGTTATAAACTAAATATAGCAGGGCTATCATATGAGTCGGGGCCGACTCGACGGCACATAACAACAACAACAACAATCACATCAGGACTGCAGTTTAGAAAGCCCTAGGCTGGAAAATTCTTAAATTGTTTCAAGAGTCCTCTGTTAAAGTGAAAAACTGTGGGTGTTGGGGCACACACAGAAAACTGTTTACCAGGAACCTGTTTGTTAGGTCTGGTTGACATGGCAATCATAGGGTATTGTCATGTAAGGTGGTGATTGGGACTAGGATTCTAATGTTGAGACTTCTCACATAGAAAGGAGATAAAAGCCCAAGTGTGAGGTAGGACCCTTCTGACTTGATAGATCTCCCAGGCATGCCCTGGGCTGGGACTCCCAAACCAAGCTAACGGCTGGCTGCAGAAGCCCAAGAGGGAATAAAAAGGTGCTTGGAGTCCTATAGGGTCGCTTTGAGTCCGAATCGACTCAACGGCAACGGGTTTTTACAGAGTCCTGTCTGGTTGATCATCAAGTGTATATATATTTTTTAATCCAACTTGGGTAAAATGTTGCCACCTACGCAAACCCTGCATAGCCACTAACCCAGAGGGATTTGGGCTCCTACTATCAGAGTATACGTATATTCGCATACAAAAAAGTTAGGATATAGGGTAAATCAATAAAACATTACTTTTCAGGGTGGGGTCAATGGAGATTTTAACTTTCTACTTGAGATATTTCTGTATCCTTGAGATTTTTTTTTTAAGTATCACTTTTATAATGAGAAAAAAAGGTAAAAACATTCAAATGAAAAAATACTGGATAATGTTTAAAATGAAGTGGGGAGGCGACTGCTGATGTTTTTTCTCTCATGCCTTCTCCCCACCCTTCATGAAATTTTTAATGCGCATGAATTACCTTTCCAGTATAAATATTTTTAAGAAACGAAACTCTGAAAGCCCAGTTTTATTTCTTCAAATAAAAGAACTGTACAAATTCTTTAGCACTGCATGAGAAACATACTGCTTGTTTCTAAATTAAATTTATATACGATTTGGACAATTTATTCATTAAGCAAACACTTTGGTAAGAATAAATTGAGTGCCTACCGTATAGCAGGTACAATTCTAGTGGCTTTCACATTTGTTACTGCGTGTAATTAAAAAATACTTTATCAAAGGACGGTTTCAAGAAACCAGTAACTTTGCAAAAACGCATTCCCTGGAAGGTGGAAGCCCCACGGCCTAGCGTCTCCCTTATCACGTAACACCGTGACCGGAGGAAGCCATCTTAAGCACCGCCTCATAGAGGAAACTACACCTCCCAGGATCTTTGCGCTTTGCGTCGTGTTGGCACTTTTACTGGCTAGGTCTTAGAGCCGAGCCTGTAGCCGGGCGCCATCTTTGACGCTGGCAATATTGGATTTCTGCTGGTGTTGCTGCTGCGAGGACGACGGGTGGCAGCGGCTAAGAAAGAAGAAAGACGTGGCAGCAAGCGGGAATCGGGGATAGTGTCGTCGGTTCGGTAAAGTTTTGTTCTCTGGTAACTAGACCCGTTTTTTAATTCCCGGGTGGCTTGGGGCCGGGGAGGTGGGGAGAGGGCGAGGGGAGTGGCAGCGGCCTCCCCTCGCCCGTGGGTCGCTGCCTAGCCCTGGAAGTCAGAGTGGGTCTTTCGGCCCTAATGTAACGACCCCCTCTCCCCACCTCCCGGCTACTGCCCTCGCCGGGGCGGGCTGAGAGCCCCGGGCTCCCGCTCACTTTTCTGATCTACCCCGCCCCCACCCCACTCCACCCCGCTCCCACGGCGCCTGCTCTTTTCCCGACCAACCAACCTTCCTCCCCTCCCCCACATCCGGTTTTAGTGAAACTTGCAGGAGTTCGGAGCAGCCCCTGAAGGTAGCCTGTCCCCCTGACTCCCAAAACGACAACACTAGATTGCTTTCTTTGAGGCAATCGAAGTGTCTCTAGTTAGTGTACCCTCACTGCCTAAATCAAACTGAGTGCCAAGAGGTGAATTTACCTACTCTCATTCCTCTCCAGGATCCCACTACTTGGAGATTTTTCTCAAACTCCACATACAGAAAGCCACCGACCTTATTCTGGTATTCTACACCCCTTCCTTGCCTTAATTACACTCCCACCCCAACCCTCACCATCGGAGTCAAGAGCAACAGGGACACTTCCGTTCTCCATGTAGGACTGATGAAACCGTAATGAAGAACAACCCCCAAACTCCCATAATCGGTGCGGAATCCTATGAGGAAGGCTTATATTTTTTGCATCTTTCAGACCTTGGTTCAGGACCTTGAGAAGGAGGCTGTGGAACTAGTGATAGCGATGCTTTTTAGAGTAAATGTATGTGGTTATTGGGGGAAGGGGGAGGGATCAACCAAGAAGGGATGAAAGTGGTTCAAAACGCCTATTTCAGTTTTTGCTGCTCAGCTTGTGAGTTACTCATTCACAGCCTGTAAAGCTGCTCCAGTCAAATGTCTGAAAACTAAAATTGGATTAACTCTTGATATGAACCTTATTTTATAATTTTATCTTGAAGACGTTTTTCTCACCTATCCACATTTTTAAACTTGGCGTTGCTTTTAATTAGAGCTGAAAGGGCATTTGCTGTTAGTGACCAGTATGTGGAGTCTGATTTAACTTTCCAGAATTGATTTACTGGGTTGTATTGGCAAATCACAAACCTAAGTGATGAATGTTAAATGATACACTATGATTTTGTTTAAATGAAATTTCCTGAAAATATTTAATCTCAGACTTAAGGGGAAATCAAAGTTGCTATCATGAGGCTCATAAAATATGTATTTAAAGAGCTGAAGGCAGATAAGAGTTCTTGATGAAGCAGGAAGAACATAGACCTGGAATTTGGAAGACCTGGCTTCTAGCTGCTGCTGACCAACTCTATGACTCTGGGAAAGTGGGCCTCAGTTCTTTTTTCTATAACATGAGGACACTGGACTATTTGAATTCAGAACTCAGAAAGGTAGAAGGGATCTTAAAGCCCTCTAAGAAAGAGTTTGGGAATGTTCTCCATTGCTGTCACTTTTCCTCCAGAAATAACCTGGCTTGGAAGTCACTGGTCCAAAGGGAACTTGACTCCCCATAGAAATTGGAGAAAACGTAACGTAAGTAGACAGGAGCAGCTGTATTACTGTTTAAGTAGTAAGCCCACTACCAGGTTCTGGTACAAGTTTTGGAGACATAAAGAGAATGAGTGTATGTACCCTAAGTGTGCCAGTTTCTTCTCTCTCTCCTGGCAGAAGATGCAGTACTTTTAGTGGTGCTGGGATTCTGGGATGTGTTCCTATTAATTCTAATACTGATGAAGAAGATGTGGTAGAGGGAAAGATGGTGGCTGAAAGTGTGGATAAAGAGGCAAAATTACCTGCTAAAAAGAAAAGAAAGAAGGGTTTGCGAATTAAAGGAAAAAGGCGCCGAAAAAAAGTAATCCTTGCGAAAAAGTTTAGTAAGGATTTGGGATCTGGAAGGCCGGTTGTAGAGGCTCCTGCTTTGTTAGCTTCCACTGCCCCTGAGCAGGATGAAGAAAGTCTTTTTGAGAACAATATAGAAAAACAAATCTACCTACCTAGTACCAGAGCCAAGACCTCCATTGTGTGGCACTTCTTTCACGTTGACCCCCAGTATACCTGGCGAGCTATTTGTAACCTCTGTGAAAAAAGTGTCAGCAGGGGTAAACCCGGTAGCCATCTTGGTACATCTACTCTTCAGCGACATCTGCAGGCAAGGCATTCACCACACTGGACCAGAGCCAACAAGTTTGGAGTCACTAGTGGGGAGGAGGATTTTACCTTGGATGTACCTTTATCTCCTTCTTCTCCTGGAAGCAATGGAAGCTTCGAATACATCCCTACTGATCCTTTAGATGATAATAGAATGGGCAAGAAACGAGATAAATCATCTGATGCCCTGAGGGCAGAAAGAGGGAGATTTCTCATCAAAAGTAACATTGTCAAGCATGCCTTAATTCCTGGAACAAGAGCCAAGACATCTGCAGTTTGGAATTTTTTCTACACTGATCCTCAGCATATATCACGAGCTGTGTGTAATATATGTAAAAGAAGTGTGAGCCGTGGTAGGCCAGGGTCCCATTTAGGAACTTCAACACTTCAACGACACCTACAGGCCACGCATCCCATCCATTGGGCAGTTGCCAACAAAGATAATGGTGCTGTTGGAAATGGATTAGAAGAGGCTGAAACTGAGAGAAATGATCTCTTGAGTGAGCCTCTGCATGGAGAGAAGTCTACAGGCAGCCAAGATTTAACAGCTGAGGAGCTTAGTGACTCTGATTCAGTTGAACCTCCTGTGTTAGAAGTTGAAAATAGAAGATCTGAGAGTCCTAGTCCTGTTGCAGTGCAAGACAGTCTGATGAATGCAGAGGAGAGAGGAAGGACCTATTGTGAAAATTCAGTCTCAAGTCAAATTAGTCAAGCAATTATTCAAATGATTGTAGAGGACATGCATCCTTACAACTACTTCTCCACCCCAGCATTTCAGAGATTCATGCAAATTGTAGCCCCTGACTATAGGTTGCCATCAGAGACTTACTTTTTCACGAAGGCCATACCACAGTTATATGATTGGGTCAGAGAGAAAATTTTCTTAACTTTGGAGAATGTACAAAGCCAGAAGATCCATCTGACTGTTGATATATGGACTCATGACCCATCTACTGACTATTTCATTGTGACGGTACACTGGGTCTCTTTGGAAACTGTATCTTCTAATAATGGCAGGATCCCAAATTTTAGAAAATGGGCAGTGCTTTGTGTGACAGGTTTGGCCAAAGACTGTTTGATAACCAACGTTTTACAGGAATTAAATGACCAGATCGGTCTGTGGCTTTCTCCAAATTTTCTTATCCCTAGCTTCATTGTTTCTGACAACTCCTCTAGTGTGGTACATGCAATCAAAGATGGCGGTTTTACCCATGTGCCGTGCTTTCTGCATGGTTTAAATATAGTCATTCAGGACTTTTTCTGTGAGCACAAAAGCATTGAAAACATGTTAGTGGCGGCTAGAAAAACCTGTCATCATTTTAGTCATTCAGTCAAGGCTCGTCAGATACTGCAAGAGTTCCAAAACGATCACCAGCTTCCTTGGAAAAATTTGAAGCAGGATGAAACTGGCCATTGGGTTTCTACCTTTTATATGTTAAGATGGCTCTTAGAGCATTGCTACTCAGTTCACCATAGTCTTGGCAGAGCCAGTGGTGTTGTGCTCACCTCCCTTCAGTGGACTCTAATGACTCATGTTTGTGATATTCTTAAGCCATTTGAGGAGGCCACCCAAAAAGTGAGTGTGAAAACCACAGGATTGAATCAAGTGCTACCCATAATACATCATCTACTCCTTTCCCTGCAGAAACTCAGAGATGATTTTCAAGTCAGAGGTATTACTCAAGCCCTCAATCTGGTGGACAGTTTGTCTCTGAAACTTGAAACTGACAGCCTACTAAGTGCCATGCTCAAATCCAAGCCCTGTATCTTGGCTACTTTGTTAGATCCTTCCTTTAAAAACAGCTTGGAAAAATTTTTTCCTCAAGGTGCTGATTTAGAAACTTACAAACAGATACTTGCAGAAGAGGTTTGTAATTATATGGAATCTTCACCAGAGGTCTGTCATATTGCAACTTCAGAAGCTTCTGGTCCCTCAGCTACAGGAAGAGCTGATTCATTTACCTCATCTATAAAAGAAGGCACCTCCAGTTCAGGCCCCAGTGATAGCTCAGCTGCAGATAATGTTGCCATTGGAAGCAAAAGCTTCATGTTTCCATCTGCTATAGCAGTGGTGGATGAATACTTCAAAGAGAAGTATTCCGAAATCTCAGGAGGTGATGACCCTTTGATTTACTGGCAGAGGAAGGTGAGCATATGGCCAGCTTTGACCCAAGTTGCCATTCAGTATCTAAGCTGCCCCATGTGTAGTTGGCAATCTGAATGTATCTTTACTGCAAATAGCCACTTTCATCCAAAGCAGATCATGAGCCTGGATTTTGACAACATAGAGCAGCTGATGTTCTTGAAAATGAACTTAAAAAATGTTAACTATGATTATTCTACATTGGTTTTGAGTTGGAATCCTGAGAATGAAGTTGTTCAAAGCAACGAAAAAGAAATACCTTAATTTCTTTTTTCTTTTCTCCTTTTAAAGTGAGCAATTTTTTTGCTATGTTACTGTATCCTAATTGCTACAGTTACTATATATAGTCATAGTAATTACTTAATCTATAAGAACAAATCTGGGGAAACCTGAAAATGTCTTAAAAAAAAAAGGGCTGAAAATTCCTCAAAGGCAATATAATTTTGCTAAAAGGAAGATTACAGGTTTCATAGTAGTGATTCAGTGTAGCTAGCAATTGAAATTTTGTATCAAGAGAGAAAAGATATATTTTTTAAATGGAAAAAAAACAGTGCCACATTGAAAGTCCTTAGGCTATTCTGGCTGGTAAATTAAGTAGTAATTGGTTTTAAGTAAAAATTTTCCCCAGTATGGGGAGTGTGGTTGCTCAAACCAATGAAATAAGAGTAAGGCACACTAAGCTGCTGATTGAAAGGTCCTTGGTTCAAATCCACCAGCCGCTCTGTGGGAGAAAGATATGGCAATCTGCTTCCATAAATATCAGCCTAGGAAACCCTATGGGGCAGTTCTGCTTTGTCCTGTAGCGTCGCTGTCTGAATTGACTCGACAGCAGTGGGTTTGGTTTTGTTTTAAACACTAATGTTTACTTACAACTCATGAAATTGTTTTGTATTTGGAAATTCTTAAATGCCTCCTCATACTGGTCAGCTTTATAATTTCAATTTAGTGTGATAGAGTTGCTCCTTACATTTAGGATTATATCTTTATAAAATTGGAAAACTTTAGAAAACAGTTAAAAATTACTCATATTCTTTGAATTGCTTTTTTCTTAACCTTTATGGGATAGTATAAGAACAATAAAGGTACATAATCTATGGGTAAATGACATATAAGAAGAAGGTTATAAAAGATGGAAAACATGGAATGGGGATTGGAATAAAAGCTCCATGAATGTACTTCTGAAAAACCCAGCATGCATTTCCCAAAGAATATTTCTTTAATTTTAGGTTATCTTAATTTTTTTTTTTTTTAATATACTGAATGACCCATAATTCTATATTCTTAACTATCTGTGTAATTCTTTTGACCACTGTTTTCTTAACTAAAACTAAGCACCAATCATGTGTTAGGAATCATTGCCTGGCTGTTAAATGAGGAAATTGATCTCAATGATCTTTAAGGTCCCTTTCCACTCTCCATATGTTTCGGTAGTGAGTGGGAAGCCAGAAAATGATGACTTTTAGTAAAAGTCTATTAAAAGTTTCAGACTGAATAACTAATGTAAGATCCCAATTTTTCCTTTTTTTCATTTTAGATTTGGGGATATTCCCTGCCCAAAAAATTCCTGGAAAATTGACTAGTATTAAGTGTGAGTAAAAGGTGTCCACTTTTTTTTAAGTTTTGATTTTAGTTTTGTCTTAGATAGTATTTGGCAAGATTTAGCCTAGAAATTATGTAGTATTTATTACATGAGAATCAAAATTGCTTTGTTACTGGGCTGGTTTCAAAATTTAGAACTCATTTCAGTGTATCAAAATAGCTTTTTTTGTTTTTGTTTTTGAAATTCTAAAATGGTAACTGTACCATTGTGAAATGAAATTTCAGCTCCAAAAGTTTACCCTTTACTTACTGGAGTAAATGGATGATTACAACATCTTTAGTCATAGCCATTAGTAATTAAGTATTTGGAACTAGGCTGCCTAAGCAAGCCTTAGTTGGGCCATTGTTGAATGGCATGTCACTGACATTGGTGTTCATGTAAAAGAAGAAAAAATACTCCCTTAGATACAAATCTTCTGTGTTTGACAGTGCCAGATCAGGATGGCTATAATGCTGCTTTGCCTTCTACAACTTGCTGCACCGCTCTACAGTTACTCTATAACTATACGTTTCTATCTTTTTTGGTTAAACACTCCCTGAGGAGGAGGATGATATACATACAACCATGTTATACACATTCATATATGTGTAAGGATTTCCCCTCATCTTTTCTGGGCTGGACAAAATTTAGTGTAACATTAGTTTCATGATACTTTTGATGTAAGTTCACTATTTTTATAATGAACCCAAATCTAAAGGCTTTTATAGTGTCTTTTGAAAGCTTACCCAGATGTTTTATTTCTACACATTTGTGTATATGTGTGTGTGTGTATAAGCCAGTTAGTATCTATATATATGTATATTATATACATAAAACATTTTATATTTTTACATACAAGTATGCTTTTATTATACAGATAATAAAGATCGGGGAAGGTTTCTGTTTTTTTCTTAATAGGTGAAGAAATCTTGAAGACCAGAAATTGGATCTTATTGAATTTTTTTTTTTTTTTTAAATTTTTTCTTTTACTCTTTTCTTTTTAAATTATATTGTTCGGCTATGGAAGATGGATTTTTTTTTTTTTTTTTAATAACCCTTTGAATCTCAAGTTCATTTTTAAATGAACTTGCTTTTTGTTTTTGAGGAGATAACTAACCCTAGCTGTCTCCAGTCTGACAAAGGTTATTCGAATGGACTTAATCTCCCAGTAGTTTGGAGATGTTTTAGAAGCACATCCTGTGTTTGAATTGTGGCTGAGAGGTTTCCTTGGCAATGTGAGGAGGAAAATTCTTTCTGCCTCATTATTATTAATTCATGGATTGAGTGTTGGTTCGACCTACAGGAGTAATAGATTGGAACTCAGTGAAGACCCAGACGTTCCTTTTGAGATCAGCCAGCTAATGTAAGTATGGAAATTTTTTTTTTCTTTCCCCCTCATTAAAGAGAGAACATTTTTATAATTTAAGACATAATTTTCCTGGATTAGAAATTAAAAAGCCATTGTTAAGGTAGTTTTACAAGCTTTTACTTTTTGGGCAGAAACATGTTTTGAGTTTTGTGTATGTCATAATGCATGCACATTGTTTCAAAAAAAAGAAAAAGTAACGTGGGGTAGCCATGGTGAAAATTCCCCAGTAATTCCATCTCCCCAGAGAAAAAACATTGTGAATAGTTTTATCAGGACATAGTTCTATATTCATGCACATAACTCTGCTTCATCTTTTTCTAATCACTACATGGTGTGTACTATTACATGGATGTGCTATATAATTTGACTAAAATGTCACTGAGGGACATTTTAGTTTTTGCCATTAAAACTAAGAATAGCTCTGTACTCAGTAATAGCCCTGTACTCAATAAAAACCCTGTACACACATCTATGTAAAATTATTTCTTTAGAACCAGTTCTTAATCTGAGTTTGTAGAATTAGCATACATTACTTTCTAAAATGTTGTGGCAATTTACGTATACAACTGACAAGGTTGTTTTGTTTTTTAGTTTGTAAAACCTCTTATATCCCTTTTAATAAAAACACTGCTACTTAGTCATGTTCTTAATAAGTCTTCTGCTGTATAGATATCTTTCATCTTATATAATTTTTTATTATTGAAGTTTGGTATCATTTCACTGGATGGTAACTGTGGTGAAAGGCTTTTTTCAGTCTAAACTTAATATGTAAAAAAAATACTTTGCATTTTCTTCTAGTACTTAGATGATTTTTTTTATATTTAAAATTTTATTTAGGTATTGTGGTTAGATGGCATCACCACTCTTCCTTCCACAAGCATGGTAGACGACAAATATGACTTGCCTATTGGCTGAGCCCAGTTACAAATTCAAAATTGTTAATACGGTTATTGGGTGCTGTAGGGTCAATTTTGACTCATGGTCTAGGGTGTAATACTTATAGGAGCAGATCGCTGGGTCTTTTTCCCACAAAGCTACTAGGTGCATGGGTTTAAATTGCCAGCCTTTTGGTTTGCAGCCGGGTGCTTTAACATTGTGCCACCAGGGTTCCTTTTCTTAGTATGCTGTTGTTAGATGTCATTGATTTTCAACTTAAAGCAATCCCGTGTAACAGAGTAGAACTGTGCTCCATAGTGTTTTCTAGCCTGTAGTCTTTATGGAAGCAGATTGCTTAATGACTGGGCAAATTATTTTTGTTAATTTTAAATGCTGCCTTTTTCATAAATCACATTTATTCATGGACTCAAGTTATACTGATCTGTGTACTCATTTGTTTTCCAGTATTTAAATGTTATATTTCATACCTATTATACCTCCTGTTCCTTTTAAAATTTTCCTTTTCTCAAGCAGTTATTCTTCTAGATGATATTATAGTCTGTCAAGTTTCAGTAATAAACTGAAATTGAGATTTGACTTGAATTGCATTCGTGGTATGGATTATTTTGAGGAGAAATAACATCTTTAAGCCTTCTACTCCATTTATTTCTCCATTTATCCAGGTCTTTTGTGCTATAGTTGTTTCATAGTTTTTGTTTTTCCGTTTGACGTGGGTCTTGCATACTTCTTTTTTCTTGCATACTTGTCTTTTTAGTTTTATTTATTTTTATTGTGATTTAGGTGAAAATTTACAGAGCAAATTCACTTTCCATACAGCAGTTTACATAAACTTTGCCTCATGACATTGACCACAATTTACCCCAATGCAACAGCTCCCCTCCTATTTCCTCCCGACAGTTACCTCTTCCCTGTGTCCATCCCTCCATGCACTCCTGCCCCCTGAGTTGTCTCCCTGTGCGTAAACAGCCCTTCTTTCTCCCATGATTGTTCTTTCCAAGGAGTGTATCTACCTTAGGTAAATGTTCAACTCCTATGTCTGTCTTTTGTTTGGCTGGAAGCCACAGGTGTGGGTTCAATTCCAGACCTGAGGGGTAGCTGGGGACCATAGTCTCAGTGGTTCCACCAGGCTCTATCAGACCAGCAAACCGGATCCCCCCCCCCCCTTTTTTTTCTCCAAATGATTTTGAGTTTTGTTCCACATTGTTCTCCCTCTCTATCCAAGATCTCCTACATAGATTCCCTTCCGAATGGTTGACATTGGTAGCCAGGCACCATCTAGTTCTTCTGGTCTCATAGTTGTATGGGCTGCAGATCGCATGGTGTACCAGTTGCTAGGAGTAATTGTTTCCATTAATTTTTGGTTTTCTTCATTCTTCTTTGCTCTGGACAAGGAGAGACCGATCATTGCATCTAGATGGCTGCTTGCAAGCTTTTAAGATCCCAGTTGCTACTCTCCAAAGTAGGAGGTGGAATAATGTCTTGCATACTTCTTAACATTTCTTCCTGTATATATTATTTGGAAGGAAGATTGGGCAATCTACTTCTGTAGTGATAAAGCCTTGGAAACCCAAGGAGAGGTTGCAATGAGTTGATCCAGCTCCACGGCAGTGAGTTTGGTTTTTTTTTTTTAATATATTATTAGTTTTATTATGAATGAGACTCTTTATTATTATTTGAATGATTGTTGCTGGAACATAGGAAATTTACTGATTTTGTCTATCTTATGTCTCAAACAAACTCGCTGCCATAGAGTCATATCTGCCTCATATCTGCCTTGGGTTTCCGAGGCAGTATCACTACAGAAGTAGATTGCCCAGCCTTCCTTCTGAGAAGTGGCTGGTGGGTTTGAACTGCCAACCTTCTGGTTAGTGGTCAAATGTCTTAGGTACTATGCCATCAGAACTCCATCTTGTGTCTAGCCACTTAAATTATTTTCAGTATTTTTTTTCCCATTTTATATATATATGTATATATGTGTATGTATGTATATATAAAAATGTATATATGTATGTATAATATAAATGTTTGTATGTATGTATGTATGTGAGAGCTCTGGTAGTGTAGTGCCTAAAGGCACTTGACTGCTAACCAGAAGGCTGGCGGTTCAAACTCACCAGGCACTCCTCAGAAGGAAGATGGGGCAATTTACTTCCGTAATGATACTGCCTTGGAAACCCAAGGAGGGGTCGCTATGAGTCGGGTCCAACTTGACAGCATATAGCAACAACAACATGTATGTATGTATATATTTTTTTCCCTTCTTACTGCATTTACTAAAAACCTCTGGGATACTGTTGATAGTGAAGACAGTGACCATTCCTTTTTTTGTTTGCCTTTAAGTTCATTTCTAGAGTTTTACTATGTTGCATGTGCTAATGGCTCCTCAGCATTAAGTGCTCTTACATTAAGGAAATTCCTTCTAATTTATTACGTTTTTGTTGTTGTTGTTGTTATGTGCCATCAAGTCAGACCGATTCATAGTGACCCCTCCTTGGGTTTCCAAGGCAGTATTACTACGGAAGTAGATTGCCCAGTCTTCCTTCCGAGGAGTGGCTGGTGGGTTTGAACCGCCAGCCTTCTAGTTAGCAGTCAAGTGCCTTAGGCGCTACGCTACCAGAGCTCCTAATTGACTAAGAGGTTTTTTTTTTTTTTTTTTAAAAAAAAAAAAGAGTACATGTTACATGTTAGTTTGTTGGGGTTTTTCCCCCTCCTCTATAATTTTCGCTTTTAAAACACAATACTTTAAACCTTTTTTTCTTGTATATCATTTTTACCTTTTTGGAATTGTAAAATGGCTACAAGTTCTCTCCTTACTCACTTTAATCTTCTAATGTAATGAATTATGTAATAAATTTTCTAATCTACTAAACATTTTTAGCCCTTTTTTGATTATGTGATGTTACTCTTTTAATATACTGCTGGTTTGATTTGCTAATGTTTTATGTAGGATTTTTCATCTGTACCATAAATCACATGTCCATAGCAATTTTAAAGCTTTTTAAAAAGCGGTGAAATAGAGCCTGTGATGTGGTTTGTTTTTTTCTTTTTTTATTTAAGTTCTTTTTTCTAAACCTTTTTTCTCAAACCTATTTCCTTGAGTAATTATTTTCAAAACTATAATGAGTATGTAAATGATATACTTTTTGAGACTGCTCATGTCTGAAAATTTCTTTGTCCTGAGCTGTCCTTTAATTGTAGTTTGAAAGGCTAAATTTAAGGTCATAATCTGTCCTTGTGGTTGTATAACATTGTTGTCTTTTGATATAGTCAGATGAGAAGTCTAATGGCCAAGTCTGACTCTCTCCATTTAGTCAATCTGCATTTTCCTGGAAGTTTGTACCATTATGTCTTTACTTTTAGAATTCAAAAAATGCCACCATTATCCATGCACAATAGAAAATTCTTTAAGGGAAATTTCTGCATAGCATTTGATGAGCCCTTTTAATCTGACGGCTTAAGTATAGTATTAGAAAATTTTCTAGTATTGCTTCTTTTGTTATTATTTCTATTAATACCATTCATTCCTTATAGAATTTCATTATATAGAAATTGAGGGTCCTGGATCTGTTTCCATGTCATGTATCTTTTCTCTCATACTTATGTCTCTCTATTCTGGGAGGTGTCCTGCCAGTGATATAATTCATTCATTTGTTTTTCATCATTTTTATTTTCCTGTTGATTCTGTCTACTGAAATCTCCCTTTTGGGTGAGGAGGTGGAAAGTTGAGTCTTTTTATTTCAAGCGTCTTATTATTGACACTTTTTTCATAGTGGTATGTTCATTTACATCAATGTTATGTTCTTCTGAGAGTATTATTAAAATTTTTTAAGAATTTCTCCTTATCAAATATTAAGTTAGGATGGGAGAGGGTCACAGGGTTTTTTGTTTCTTTCTCCTCTTCTGTTTTCACATAGCTATTTTCATTGAAAGTAATCAGGTTTTGTTTGACAACCTGGGTAGTTTTTTTTTCCCCCTTTTTAAAATTTGAGACATGGCAGAATTTATTGGGTTTCTGTTTGACGTAGTAGTGATTTCTGAAAATGTTTAAATTTTTAATTTCTATGAAGATTTCTTTTTGTCATATTCTTGAATTAATT